AGATAGTCATTTTAGGTTGTTGTGTGTTGAGGATTGTGAGAAGTTGTCACTTACATGTCCTTTAAAGGGGATCAAGTAAAAATCTTGGCATGCCCGCTGCATATTCTGCATTTGGCTCCTTTGGGATCACATTGATACTCTGAGTATCTGGCATAGGAGATTTTATCATTTAGTGTAGGATTTTCACACGAAAACATGCTACACTAAACTACTCTTTGGTTGTGATGAAAGCATATTTGTAGTTGCGTGATGTTACCTTGAACAAATATTTGTGTGGCAAGAGATTAAAGTCTATTTGTAAAATCTGATATTGCCCAGAATTAAGGAAAGTTCAAGTATGACCATCCTCTTTTACTGTGTCTCTTCCCAGATCAACCACTAAGAAATGTGCAGTACGATGGCATCTTATCTCAGTAGATAGAGTCTGGAGAGAAAGAACTGTCTTTTGGGGTGTGTTTTAAATTATAATTGTAATAGTCATTGTATAAAACTTGTAAAATAGAAAAATCACACATAATTCCACTCCCCAGAGATAACTGTATTAATGTTTTGGCATATTTCCTGTTTTATAAATATACCTTATATTTTTCTGTCTTTTTAATTACATGACAATTATATCATTTAATATATATTTTTGGTATTGTATATGTTATATATAGCATATGGTCTAATATATTTAAAATTTAGCATATGTATTCAAGATTACAATATATGATATGCCATAATTTGTCAGTTTTCTTACTATTGGACTTTTGTGTTTAATGTTTTTATTCATCTGTGTCTCAGTAAATTGTGATAGAGAAATTAACTTTTTTTTGCTTCAGAAACTAGCCTGTTAAGTAGCAGTGATTGGATCAGTCTCTATTTTGGTTTCTTGTCAGTTGTTTGTATTGTCTTAAATCTTTAGGATTTTGTAGTGTCTTAAGTCTTTAGGATTTTGTAGCATTTATTGGAATCACAGCACTTTCAGAAAACACCTTCATAGTACCCGTTTTGCTTTAAGCGTTCTACACCAGGTTAAATCTCTCATTCTGAGCTATAAGAACTATGTTTCTGCTCTACATCATGCCAGCACACTTATATTTCTAGTAGAGTAGGTGTTAGTTGAGGGAACTCTTCTTTTTTTAAGATTAAAATAAATGCAGCTTATGGAAAGTTGGTGTTCCTACAATAACTATTTTAGACATCGTTTTTTATTTTTTAAATTTATTTTATTTATACAAGAGCTGGGGTACAGGCCAGAGGCTCCGAAGGGTGAGAGGATTCACCAGAGACAGAGCGGGGAGCAGAACAGGCAGACAGACCGAAGACACTGCTGAGGGGAGCAGTGGGTGAGACAGTGGGAGAGGTCTGCCGCGCCATGTGGGTTGCTCCCTGGCCGGCTGGGAATTGAACCTGCACTGCGGAGGCTGCGGACAACTTCACAGCTCTGCGTTCAACCTGCTGCGCCACCGAGAAGGCCCTAGACATAGTTTTTTCAATTTACAGAAAACAGGTCATTCACGACGCCTTTTGAAAGGATACAAAAGTTTTATAATATCGCAAGCTATTAACTGTTTTATTTTGTAAGAACCAGGTAAGTTTATTGAGTACTTACTAAATACTAGATACCATTTTAAGCATGGAGATATAAAACCAATAAATTTTTACCTTCATAGAGCTTAAATGTTAATGAGGAGAGACAGACAGCAAACAAGATAAAGTAAATATATAATATTTAAGTCCACATTCTTAAATGAAGCCTTTTTGGATTCATTTTTTTTCCCCCCAGAAAAATAATATAGTGTATATATTAAATATTACCTAACACCTGGGGGAGTGGGTTAGCAATATTCAAACCTATTCATATTTAGTAACAAAAGTATAAACATGAGCATTCAGCATCTATTATTTATCTGTAATGTAGAGAGTTGTAAAAACAGCTTCCATAGAATCAGGATCCGATAACCTGATAGGATGTGCCTTTGACGATGCATTTTTCCCCCATTAAAATGTAATTTTTTTCCTTATGGAGTTACTTGAAAACTTGATTTTCTGATCTCTTTAGAATTATAGGTATGGAATATAGAATTATAGTGTGTTTGATAGTGATAGTGCTTTGCAGAAAAGTAAAGGTGTAGAAGGGTGGTTATAATTATAAGTAGAAGGATCAGGGAAAACTTACTGAGATGATGTTTTTGCCTGGGAAACTAGAATGATGGATTTGCTGTTTACTGAGGTGGAGAGAAACAGTTGGGGTAAAGGGCATAAAAGGCAAAGATCAATTTGTAGTCACAGAAAACATAATTTTAAAGAGGTAATTGGTTAAATATTGCTACATGTAACATTCCCTCACCCAGAAGTAGGGTCAGTGGTCAGGGATCTATGCCATTATTTGCTGTTTCAAGAGCCTGGCTTAGATAAAGTGAGTTTCACCTTTCTTTCACTAAAGGCAACAAAGAGGAAATCTTTTTGGGAAGAAACTCTAGGCAAACTTGGTAAGATCTTCCTTTCCGTGGAGCCAAAAACAGAGGAAGAAAAGTCATCTTGCCTGGGACCAAGCCCTTTCCAGTGTGGAAGTGTTTGAAGGCTGCCTATGGCAAGTGGGGTCCTTAACCATGCTGTACTCTACCAAGTTGGGGAGCCTAAAGCTTTCAAAAGCAAGAAACTGCATAGAGCTGTACATTTCTCCAGATTGCCACTTTCTCTTATTCCATCATCAGTTAGATATATGTTTAATATTTGCATCTGGAGAATCAGAGCTGTTTAATATTTCTTAGGTAGTAGGACCAGTTAAAGCAGCTGATAGCTGGTAGTGGCTGATGAGCATCCCATCCCCTCTGCCAAGGGAGTAAGCCTTTCCAACTCCTCCTTTCCTTCCTTTCCCTTCATAGAGCTTAAATGTTAATGGGGAGAGACAGACAGCAAACAAGATAAAGTAAATATATAATATCTAAGTCCACATTCTTGAATGAAGCCTTTTTGGATTCAGTTTTTTCCCCACAGAAAAATAATATGGTGTTTCCTTGAACAAATATTTGTGTGACAAGAGATTGAAGTCTATTTGTAAAATCTGATATTGCCAAGAATTAAGGAGAGTTCAAGTATGACCATCCCCTTTCACTGTGTCTCTTCCCAGATCAACCACTAAGAAATGTGCAGGAACTATATATAGATAGAACGTTGAGGCTGGCTGGAAAGTGGAAAGCTGATTGAGGGAAGCCCAGCCAGACCATCCTAGCTGTTGCTTTTTAGCTGTGGTGTTGGGGATATATTGGACATATGGTTGGAGGGACAACCCAGGGAGCTATAGCTGGGAATCATGCCCAAAATATAACTGATAGTGTACCTTCCAGCAAGGTTGTCAAGGTATAGGTGAAGATTAAGAGCTGAGATACAGAGCCAAAATGAGAGAATTAAGAAACTAGGAAATCTGTCATTAAAAGTAAAGAAGTAGGCATTGTGTTTTCTACAAACATTCCAGAGGTGGAATTCAGATGGCTTTTACATCATTCCAGCACAGGCACTCAGGGTATGCTTTACTTATTTAAAGTTATTAGAATAGGTAAGGATTTGTTCTTGTCTGCCTCACCGATCTATTTGTATATCTGTTTCCACCAGTACATTGTGGGGATTGAAGAGAAGGGTTTTAGTATTGTGATAAAGCATGAACTTTGGCATCAGGCAGGTCTATTTAAATCCAAACCTTCTCTTTCTAGCAGTTTGACTCTGGTAAAATTGCTTGTATTACACTGAAACACAGGTTCAGTATTGTCATTGTAAGAATTAAATGAGAGAAAATGTTTACATGTGATTAATCTTGCACATGGAAAGTAGGCTACGGAAGTTTTGTTCCCTCTCCCTATTTGTACTCTACACAAAGCTTTCTATTTAAAAGATATTCAAAATATTTATCAAATTGAGTATGTTTTTCTATCTATTAAATCTGAACTCCAGTTAAGGACAGCCTGAGGCTGGCATTTTATAAGGCTTTCACCTTGAGCAGCTGATGTTATTGTTGCTAAATATTTTATCAAGCAACTTCCTATTATGTGCCAATGTTAAGTTTTCACTTGCTTATCTATTATCGTTCCTTTTTCTTGTCAAAGTTATACTTGAAGTTTCTACTTTTTTTGAAGGCCCATTCTTTTTCTTTATTTATAGGACCTTTTATTCACTCCAGGTTATCTGCTCTTTTAAAAATCCTCAACCACATGATTTAGGCATTGATAAGTGTAGTGATTGTCAAATACTTTTACTCCTTTGTCAAATATTTATTGTGCAATTATGCTAGGGTGGATATGAGCAAGATTAATACATAATTTCTGCCTCCCAAAAAACTTTTCCTTTAGTAAAAAAAAATGCATGTATTAAAATTTATGTAATTATTTAATGTTACCTTTGATTTTCATTTTACCATTTTAAATTATTTCATTTTATTTTATATTTATTTTTAAAATTTATTTATTTATTTTTTAAAAGATTTTATTTTATTTATACAAGAGCTGGGGTACAGGTCAGATGCATGGGAGGGTAAGAGGATTCTCCAGAGACAGGGAACAGAACAGGCAGACTGATGAAATACACTGCTGAGGGGGAGCAGCGGGCAAGACAGGAAAGGTCTGCTTGCCATATAGGTTGCTCCGAGACTGGCGGGGATTGAACCGGCACTGCAGAGGCTGCAGACAGCTTTACAGCGCTGTCAACCAACCACCTGCGCCACCAGGGCCCTAAATTTAGTTTTTTATTTTTTTTCTAAATTTATTTTTTAATGGAAATGTCTTAAAACATTTTTATTGCAATACAACACTAAGGATCTCATTTTAAAAACTCACATACATGCACACAGAAAAAAAGATCTTAAAGATGTGCATCTAAAGATGTTGACAGAGCTTCTCTGAGTAATGGCATATATTTTTCTTTTGTCTAAATTTTCAAAATTTTTATTTTGAAGTTATAGGAAATTCATCATTCTCCATTCTTTGCTAGTAAAATAGTGTCTTCTCTCTTCTTGCACTCAGCTTTTGCGAGAATTGAAGCACCCTAATGTGATCGCATTGCAGAAGGTGTTCCTTTCTCACAGTGACAGGAAGGTATGGCTGCTGTTTGATTATGCAGAACATGATTTGTGGGTAAGTCTCAACTCACTTGATTTTTATTTTATATAGGTACAGAGAAATTAATGTATGCGTTACATATTGCAGAATTCATAGAAAGGTAAACTTGCTCTGTTGACAGTAGTTCAAAATCAATATAATAAATGTTGATTTAAAAGATTTGAACAATAAGCATTAACATTTGACTTTACTGAAGATATTGTATTTGTGATATTCAGAAATTTCACTTCAGAAAATGTTAATGGGGGGAGAGTATAATTTTATGTTAGTAGTTAATAGCAGCTTACTAATATGTGTAGTGAAAATGACTTTCTTTTGAGGTACAAATTTGACCAGTTGTATACTTGTGAATAGTTTTTGTCACTAAACTAAGGTCAATTTCTTTTTTTCAAAAAAAAGATTTATTTATTTATGTATGCAAGAACTGGGATACAGGCCAGAGGAGTAGGGGGCGGTGGTGAGAGGATTCACCAGAGACAGAGTGGGGAACAGAACAGGCAAATTGATTGAAATACACTGCTGAGGGGAGCAGCGGGCAAGTCAGGAGAGGTCAGCTGTGCCATGTGCATAGCTCCCTGGCCGGGGATCAAAATCATGCTGTGGTGACTGCGGAGATTGCATCTTAACCCCTTGCGCCACCAGTGAGGCCCATAAGGTCAATTTCTTACAGCATTTTGCCATTTAAAATCAATGGATGTTTGATCATTTTATAAAGCAGCCAAAAAATTGCAATTCCAGCTTTGAAACTTTGGATCATGGGGTTTTAAATATTTTATCTGAGAAGCTACTAAAAATGAAAAAATTCAAACTGGCTATAAGTTCTAATTTTGCATAATTAAATTTTGATTTAATCCAGTGTGGGTCATCATCATTATAAATTACAGACATGTTTAGGAATAACTTTTAACAGACTCATAGGTCTTGAAGGAACTTTCAAAATTCATGTTGTTACATCGGATATTTACAAGAACTTCCAGTGTGTTTTTATCTGTTCTTTTCATGGATATTCAGCACCCATTTTGGCATGTTTTGGACAGGGATAGAATTGGAGATGGGGGAGGGTTATGAAGAGCAGGTACATTTCTAGTAATTTAAATATCAATATAGTGATGTTACCCAAATGCACCAGTACTAACTTTTCATAGAATAGTAAAAATTCGTAGTTCCTTTTTTCTTGTTTTTATCATTCTATCATTGAAAATAAAACTGGTAGCATTTTTATACAATACATCAACCCTTTTTACCTTTTGGTTCTATTCATTGAAAATCTTACTGATTTCATTCAATCTTGTCATTGTATATATATTAACATGGTTACATTCACCCCTAATAAAGATTCTGTTTTGATTGACCTGATTCAAATTATTTATCTCTGTGCAATTATTCACCATTAATAAGTCATTTTAAAATATAGGGAATTTACTGCAGCCTTGATTGTGTTTTATTAACACAGATATTGTTAAGACTATATGTTACTATAGTATGTTTTATGTTTTTAATTTTTAGCATATTATTAAGTTTCACCGTGCATCAAAGGCAAATAAAAAGCCCATGCAGTTGCCAAGATCTATGGTTAAATCATTGCTTTATCAGATTCTTGATGGTATCCATTACCTCCATGCAAATTGGGTGCTTCACAGAGATCTGGTAAGTCTGTTTCTTTTAAATTGATCAATGTGCTTTTTCCCCTCTTTTAAAAAATAGCTTTTCTTCCTGGTTCATTATGATAAATGTGAACTATAGAAAAATTTGTAAATACACATAAGAAAGAAGGAAATGAAAGTGACTCATAAGTCTATGATCAAGTCACTCATAAGTATATGTTTTCCCATTATATTTATGCATAACTATAATGTTGCTGTGGTTTTTAACAAAATGATTGGCATAATCTTAATGGGATAGTCATGTGAAACAAATATCTTCTGAATCGTTTTGTTTTTCATATTATTGTTCCTAATTAATAAAAATATCAATAAAGGCTGAGTTCTCATTTTTTCCCCTTAAGAGCTGAACTGAAGTAAATGGCATTACTTTCGGTCAATAGAATGTTACCTGTATTAACAATAGATATAACAAGTAGAATATATTAATTCAGCAAATTAGCTGCAATTCAGAGGTTTGATTTTACCTTTTTTATTCAGTCCACATATATCAAATATTTATTAATGTTAGACTATAGCCTATTTATTTATCTTCATGTTGTTATTTTAGTTCATGCTGATGTGATTTTTTTGTTTGTTTATTCTTTAAGAAGATTGGGTACTGAATAGCTATAATACCTATGCGTTTATAATTGAAAGTTTTATTTTGCTCATAGCCACGCCTGCCTCGCCATCACCACAAAAAAGTTTCATGACTGTTTATTTCCTTGATTTTTGGAGATTCTAGGGATGTGGTCCAGATAAGTTTAGGTCAATTTGGTTTTAATCATTGAGGAGAAGTACTTGTTATATAAAGGAATGAATGTATAAGGAGATCTGGTTAGTACCCCTTGCTACCTTGTTAGTCAGGCCTAGTCATCTGACTTGACCATCTCTTGCTGTGGCATTTAAGCTAAATTGGGGCTAGGTGACAGTGGCAGAAGGACCCATTTACCATTTCAACAGAAGCTTTTTACCTCATAATTTTAGACTGTAAACTTCTCAAGGACTTCCATTTATCCAGTTTAACATTAACCATGAATCAGCACATGTGAAAATGTATTTTGGCTATGTGAGGTGATTCTGGATTCAAATCTATTTCATAAATGGTTTTCAATTTTAATTTGTTATGTATTTTTTGTTTATATCTTTGACATCACTGAATTTATTATATATTCTTAATGTTACGTATCTGAGTTATATTTTTGAGGTCACTATTACATTTGAATCATTGATCAGAATATCTCATTAAGGGTTAACTAATTTTAACACACCTCCTTTTCCCCAAAAAATTGTATATATTGTCCTAAATAGCATAGATAACACATTTTTGTGTTTGTATATGGTTTCATCACTGGAACATCCACAGGAACTAAAGCTCAGTAGGACCAGGACTCAGTTTTCACCCATTCAAACTTGCTGCTGTGTAGTGTTCTCTATTTTAATTATGAGACCGCTTTCCTTCTAGCCTAGGAACTTCTTTTACCCCTGGAAGATGCTTCTTTGTGTTCTACACCCAGAATTGCCAAATTCGATTTTCACCTCTAAAATTTCCAGTTATATATTTCCATCCCTAGGGCCTCATTCTTTGTTCAGGCCTTTATCTTTCTTCTGTAATGGTATTAACCTCTTGTCTTCCCCTCAATAATCACTTTCCTTTATCTAGTCTACATCTTCTGAATAGTTGCTCAGCTTCTGCTGAAGAACTTTGAAATAATTTCTCCAGTGAGAAACTAGACTAAAGGTCTAGTTCCTTACTTGGTTTTCAAAGTCTTACCAGATACAGCCCTAACTGCCTTTAACTTTTTTTTTCTTTTTTTTTTTTTTTAGAGGCATGTTTTATTTATTTATTTGTTTGTTTGTTTGTTTGTTTGTTTGTTTTCATTTTATACATGCACTGGGTACAGTCAGAAGCGCGGGAGGGCGAGAGAACTCACCAGAGCCAGAGCGGGGAGCAGAGCAGGCAGAAGGACCGAAGTACACTGCTGAGGGGAGCAGCGGGCGGCAGGAGAGGTCTGCATGCCATGTGGGACCCTCCTCTGGTGGCCGGGGAGCAGCCGGGGATCGAACCGGCGCCGCAGAGGCCGCGGGCAGTTTCACAACCCAGCGCTTAACCGCTGCGCCACCGGGGAGGCCCTGCCTTTAACTTTTTCTCTATACCTATCATCTTTCATTTATACTATAGTATTGAATGATTGATTGCTCCCGCATCCTCCTGAGATTTCTTGTCTCAGTAGCCTTTATTTCTCCTGTCCTAAAGCCCCTTGCCTCATCTCTACATATTCAAATACAGCTTACCTTTCAGGACTACAAAGACATTAAAACACATTGTCATATCCACCCCTACTTGGAGAATAATTTCTCTTTCTTATGGTTGCTATTGTACTTCATCTTCTCTTATAACAGTTATATATTAATATTATGGTAATTTATAGGGGTGTTTTAGGTCATTTTCTAAATCATTAGCTTCTTGAGAGCGTCTATGACACTTTTTTTTCTACTACTATTCTACATTGCAGTAGATTCTGAATAAATATGTTCTCAGTGAATGAATATCAATAAGAACATTGAATATTATGGCATGTTTTAGAGTCAAGACTGTAGTTGAGTCTGAGTGGGGAAATTGACATACAATTAGATGACATATATACAATTAACTATAAGGTAGATGAGAAAGAACAGAATCATGGCTATGTGAGAGGTACAAACTAATATTTTCAAGGTTAGAAGAGGTTTTGAGAGAGAGAATAAGTGAATACTTTAGGAAGGTACCATTTGACTTCAATTTTGAACAGTGAGAAGAATTTATATAGCGAATAAAGATATGAGGTTAACCTAAGGGGGTTTGGATTTATAAAATTTGAGGTGCGAAAGCATTTGAATTACCCCAAAAAAGGTGTGTAGATCTGCCTGGCTCAAATATGGGTAAGCTGAGTTAGTGTAGTGTCGCAAAGACTACTGAATTATGGGTTGGAATCGGAATGAAAAAGGCCCTGTATGTCAGGCCAGAGTGTGTGTGTGTTTTTAAATTTGAAAAGTTTGTGAGCAGCAAAATGAAATTTTTTTTTTAACCTAAAATGAAATGCTTTTGCCCACTAAAGCAGTCACCACTGATTATCATTACCTCAGCAATAGCATGAACACAATGTTGAAAATGTGTTCTGAAAGAAATGAATACTGGTCTCATATAGCACTTGATTATATTTTATCCACTCATTCATCAAATGCCTATACTCCTCAGATAAGTAACTTAAAGATTTGAAACTTTAACCCAATAGTAATCTAGTCTGTCACAGTCTACTCAATTATTTTTACTGATCATTAGCTCCGATTCCTAAACTGTATTGTAATGGTTTTGTCAGAATATTTTTAGGAGTAGATTTAAACCATATGTTTACTTTGTAGATATTTTCTGTAGTAGATGCAGAAATATAAAGTGTATCAGACATGAATATGGTATTAAAAGGAGCATGATGGAGACATTTGAAAAATTACTGTTTTCTTGGTGAGCTTAAGTGTAGAGTAGCAGTTTTAGTCAATGAGTGGTTGTTTTTTTTTTAAATGCTTCATTTCCTGTTGCAGTAAGAAATCTTGCTTTATACTGTTTGGTAGTCACAACTGTTTTGGAATACATACCATCTCTAAATTTTCATTTGATGTGAGAAAGCTGGAAAATCCATACAATTAAAGGTGCTAGAGTAAACATGAATTTTACAATGTAATAACCTGCCAAATTTAAAAAGTAAATAGAAGCCACTGTTTTAAAAGGACTTTACACTCAAAAGCATTGTATCATCATAGTGTTTGGTGTTTCTTTTATTGTGATTGATTTTGTATCTGGAACAGAATTTTAATTATGTCATTTTGATCTTAGAATTTAATATAGAAATAGAGAATATAAAGTCACTAAAAAAGATTACTTATATTGAGGAATGACTTTAAAAGGAAAGGAGAAAAGGAGCTGAATACATTCATCTTGGCTAAGAGACAGTAAAGTTGAGACAGAAGTCTATAAATATTTGGAACTTGTAAACACCCAGGGAGAAAAGATGTATTTTTATTTTACAGCAGGATATAGCTAAGAGTAAGAACATGAAATATAGGATGACTCACTTTTATGGGATTACTATTCTGGTAGGTTGGAAGGATGCCAAGATATGGTTTATCTCTTTTTCAAAATTATGGGCTTCTTGAGAGCAAGGATCATATCTCAGTAATTTTTGTATTCTTAGTGTTGACATATTGTTTATGCTCATAATTTACTTGAGTTTTAGCAAAGCATCTGGCAATTTGCACATTATTCTTTAGTAAAGGTAGAGAAATGCCAGCTAAGTGATGGTATTGTTAAATGGATTTATGACTCTCCTTAGCTATAGAACAGTGCTACTGGATCATAAACTGAACTATAAGTTGAGCTAGCTCTTTTTTAATTTATATCTCAGTGTCTCCCATGTGATAAATTTTAGGTTTTTATTGAATGAAGAATTTGAATGAATGCCCCCAGGGCTCTGATCCTAGCCATTTTCTCAAAAATATCTGTGGAGATCCCATCCCAAAATTTAACTTGAGTTTTGAATAGTAATTATTGTTCACAATAATGGGTAAATTTTATAGTCTTTTAAAGTTCTAGAGTCACAAATAATTATATGGTCTACAAACTTTGTACCTGGAAATTTTGTGAGATTCATTGAGGGAGAAAATAATAATTGTACTCAGTAATTTTTGGAGTTACGTTATTAACATCTATTATAGGGCCTCCCCGGTGGCGCAGCGGTTGAGCGCTGGGTTGCGAAGCTGCCCGCAGCCTCTGCGGCGCCAGTTCGATCCCCAGCTGCTCCCCTGCCACCAGAGGAGGATCCCACATGGCGCGCAGACCTCTCTTGCCGCCCACTGCTCCCCTCAGCAGTGTACTTCGGTCCTTCTGCCTGCTCTGCTCCCCGCTCTGGCTCTGGTGAATTCTCTCACCCTCCCGTGCTTCTGACTGTACCCAGTGCATGTATAAACGAA